TTCAATAAATACATGTTAAAACTATTTTAAAGTTAGTAAAATAATTAGACTCCTTGTGAATTAGTATGTATTTAATCGTAAATTGAGATGTTTTTAGTAAATATTCTTTTTAAGAATGTTTCAAATGGCGTAAAAAGGATAAGGTTCTTTGTACAAAGCTGGAAGAAAAAATACTTACCCCCCCCCCTGATTAACTTTTGATTTTGTGATCGGATCTTCACGTTCTAGAACTCAGTCTCAATGGTTCAAAGGGTTGAATTCAACTATACTATTTCATTTGTGCAGACGATATATTAAAATACAAAAACGTACTTCCTCTGAATAACCATACCTTTTTTTCTATGGATTCGGATTTCTACCCCCCCCCCCAATATAGAGGGTTGCAGCACTCTGGAAAACATGGTGCCAATAGTTTGGTCAGAAGAGCGGTCCAAAGTTTGAACCCCGTAATGTTAATTTTATTTTATTTTTGCGTTTTTCGCCATATCCCCTAAACTATCACGGCTTGCAAAAGGAATTTTATTTTATAACCATACTTGGAGCAGCAGACCAAATTTTTGGGTTCAAGAATACTAATGTTCAACTCGGAATCCTTGTAATTTTGAACCCGTTCCAGAACACAAGGGAACTCCAGGATCAAGTATTAGGAGAAATTTTCTCTCGTGGAGGACTTTTTTTATGCAATTAACTTACAGTCGCGTTATATGGTGAGGAAAACCACGAAAACATCCCATGGTTAACCGGACGGAAAGTGGACTCTAACCCATGGTAAGTCTACCACTGAGGATATTTTACATCAGCATTGTGATCGATGCGAGCCGTTTGCGGAAATCGTATCGATAAGCGATCGATGGGATTCGAACCCAGTTCACCTCATTGGAAGCGAACGCTCTATCCCCAGAGCCACCACGGCTCAGAAGGAATTGTGCATAACAACTTAATATGACACCCGGGTTCAAAATTCAGTGATGTCTGGTCGATACGAATTCCGCTTCCGGCTTGCGCCGACCACAGTGCTGACGTAAAATTATCCTCAGTGGTAGACGGATCATGGGTTAGAGTCCCCTTGCCGTTAGGCTTATCGTGGGAGGTTAGTTCTATCAAAAAGTCCACCACGAAGGCAAATTTCTTCCAATACTTGATACAGGAGTTCCNTTTGAAATCGATCAATTGCAGAGAATATTCGACATGACAGGTGTGCAATAAATTATGCATTGATGAAACTGTAGGTTAGTTGCGAAAAAGTTTTCACTTTAAAGACAAAATTTATTGAAATTGAATCACATCAATCTAAATAATCTCAAGTATTTCATTACTATTTGCTTTTTATAAATACTTTAAAAACATTCAAAACTTTGTAAAAGTATTAGACGATTCCTTATGAATATTATCATGTCGCTTGTGATTTGAAATCGATCAATTGCAGAGAATATTCGACATGACAGGTGTGCAATAAATTATGCATTGATGAAACTGTAGGTTAGTTGCGAAAAAGTTTTCACTTTAAAGACAAAATTTATTGAAATTGAATCACATCAATCTAAATAATCTCAAGTATTTCATTACTATTTGCTTTTTATAAATACTTTAAAAACATTCAAAACTTTGTAAAAGTATTAGACGATTCCTTATGAATATTATCATGTCGCTTGTGATTTGAAATCGATCAATTGCAGAGAATATTCGACATGACAGGTGTGCAATAAATTATGCATTGATGAAACTGTAGGTTAGTTGCGAAAAAGTTTTCACTTTAAAGACAAAATTTATTGAAATTGAATCACATCAATCTAAATAATCTCAAGTATTTCATTACTATTTGCTTTTTATAAATACTTTAAAAACATTCAAAACTTTGTAAAAGTATTAGACGATTCCTTATGAATATTATCATGTCGCTTGTGATTTGAAATCGATCAATTGCAGAGAATATTCGACATGACAGATGACAATAAATTATGCACTGATGAAACTGTTAGTGTCAACTCTTCAGTAGCGAAAAATTTTTCACTTCAATGACGAAATTTATTTAAATTAAATCACATCAATCTAAATAATCTGAAGTACTTCATAACAATTTGCTTTGTATAAATACTTTTTTAAAAAATATTTAAAACTTTGTAAATGTATATACTTAGAAATGTCTTTACGTATATTATCAAGTCGTTTGTGAATTTAAATCGATCAAATACATAGAAGATTCGACATGACAGATGTCAATAAATTATACATTGATGAAACCATAAGTCAATTTCACTAGGAAAAAGCTTTTCATTTAAAAGGCAAATAACCAGCTGTCAGTTTTATGGTCACTGACTGTTTTTTTTTACTTCATATTTATTCTAGAGAAAAAAAGGAGGCATATAAATGTATGGACATACCTCCCAGAGGCAGGGTCGAACGTAAAGCCACACAGGACCAACCGATTCATCAAAATTAGCGACATTTCTCAACCTAAGAAGGAAAAAAATGCTAAGTCATAAAAAAAAATTATGGCTGTGTTCGAAATAAAACGCTTTTTCGCTAACCAAATGAGATCGTCTGCATTATATTAAAAGAAATGAGAATGGCAGCGTATGTTTTCCCTTGGCTATTGAACTTTTTCCGCATTTTTCTGTTCTATTAGAAAAAGAGAAAAATATATATCATTCCAAGTTGTGCACTCTGTAATTATACTATTATGAGTAAATTGAAATTTATTGCTTTGTGCTATTATGACACGTTACGAGTTGGGTTAAGATTTAATAATACGATTTGCGAGTGGTATTAACTTAAATGGAATATAATATATTTCTCTCTTTTTAAAAGTTTTTTAAACATTTTATAATTGATGTATTGCAATAATAAATTCGATAAAATATTTTAATTATAGCGATATTAAACAAACATTCTAAATAAAATGCAGCACATTTCTTTAATCCTATTTCTTGTCTGGGTTGCTGTATACCTTCCAACTTCTTTCCTTTTATGGATAAAGATTTTTCCTGAAAATTTAAAATACTAGTACATCTAACATGTACTACTATTTTAAACTTTCAAGTTAAGTACAGAAAGTAGTACACTTTATTTTTCCTTTAATAAATTGGCTTTATAATAATGGTCTTCGAGCATTTTACAATGATAATAATAATAAAGTTCTGACCAGCGGCATTTTTTTAAGCACCTTAATCATAGTAAGTCGCAGAAAGATGCACGTGGAAGGGAGGAAAGGGAAGAAATTTAAATATTAATTTTGAAAGCAATAAATTTTTGCCTCCGCTGAATCAAATGAGGCTAAATATCGAAGAGACTAATAGTTTAAAAGTTAGAAGGGTTTAATGTAGAACAAGTACGCACTCGACTTGTAACTATTTACATATTTGATAAAAATATGATTCAGGTATTTTTTTTAAGGCTTAATCGAATGTTTCTAAATACTAATAAATAGAACTAATTGCCCAGAAGTTGTAGGAATTTTTTTTTTAAAAATAAAGAAAAAAATAACTAAATTAAATATTATTTTTGATTTATAACTTATTTATGTATACTCTTATATCTTTTAAACTATTACCTTGTATTTTGTCAATTATTTATTGTAAAATCTATACCCTTGTATTTTATCTCATTCAAATCAGCCAAATGAAAAAACAAAGAAGTAAGTAAATAAATAAATAAAATAAAATAAACGAATACTCAGGAAGAGATATTTTACTTGCCTAGATAGCAATGTCAGAAACGTAAGAAGGTACTTGTAAAAAAATTTTCTTTTTGTACACAAACATTTACAACTGTTTGTAACAATTTGATTGACTGTTTATGCTCGCTCTAAACAGCGTTAAAAAAAATAATAAATTAGAAAAAAAAAAAGAAAAAGAGAGAGAGAGCTTTATACGATAACAATTGTTATAGTTTATCGAAAATATAATTATGAACGTTAATAGTCGTTTTAATTACTTCTTATTAGTCTTTCATCAAATAAAGCTGAGAAACCAATGACAATCTTATGTAACACAAATAAGCATCATTAGATTAATTTTCTTATGAAACCATGAAATATTTTTATCCTTATTTTAAGAAACATGATACAGCAATAAGATTAGTCAAAAATTCGAATAAAAAGTAATTTTTAAAGAACACTATTTTTTTTCTTTTATGGAAACGGACAATTTCTAAAAAAAAAGTATTACATATGCGTCATCGGAGTTCATTTTTCTGGTGGGGGTGAAATTAAATTGCACATAAAGAGTTACTTAAAAATAAATAAATAAATAAACATCTTTCATCAAATAAGCCAGAGAATCAATTGACCTTGCTAAATATTTGCAATAAAAATGATTTATTTTTATTTTTAATAAGTTTCAGTTTAGCGTTCATGAAATTTTTATTTATTCGTAAGTTTTATTTAGTTTTATTAGATTATTATTTCTGAGGTGGTACTTAAAAGATTTCTAATTCCTGAGGGGAGCAATTTATCCCTGTTTCCCTCTGCCAATAACGTTCGTGATCTAGAAACATGTAATCAGAATAAAAATTGTAGAAAAATTTCTTTCTTTTAGATATTTCAATAATCTTCTACCTCCACCTTTATAACAATTATCTTATTCCAAAACAGAAAAAGAAATAATAGTTTGACTTCTTTTTTAAGATCATCTTTTTTATTCAAGCAAAGCGCATCAAATTTTAAAATTAGATTAAGGGCATAATTTTTTCCAGTGAACATTTCCAAATTATAAAGCACAATCGTTAGAGACACGATTTGATTTAATTCCATGACCGAGCAGACGATAGTTTAATGAAGAAGAACAATGACGAAAATTTCTTTTTTCGATGCAAAAACGATTATTTTAGATTTAGAACAAAAGAACAAATTGAAAATAGAGGATGAGGGAATGAAAATACTGGAGCAAATCTCTCCACGACCCGGCGCCACCCCGCGGTAAAAACAGTCACCAACAATTAACAAAAGACCTAAAACATTTATATCCCTAAAAAACCCCTCCTCAACCTCCAGGGAAAACGACGAGTCAAAGGTGGGCGCCTAGTTACGTCACGAGTCAAAGGGGGGATTTGAAGGGGGTTCCCACTCCCCTTGGAGGATGCTCCTCAGAAGAAACCAGTCTTTTTTCTCAGCGCAACGTAATGACCGTTAGCGGCCAGATAAAGCGATGCGGTGAGGGGCAAAAGATCATTTAACGCCGAACCACTCTGCTATGAAAAACTGGGCCAGGAAGATTTCTCTCTCTAGTCTGGAATTCGATACTCCCTATTTAGAGAATCACTTTTGCTCTTGCGGAGGACTAGACGGTCTCCTTCACGGTTGAAAAAGATCAGAAGAGCGGACAGCGTGGGAAGTTTTTCTTTATTTTATTTATTCGCTATATTTCAAAAGAACATTTGCAAGTTATTTTATTTTAAATTATCGTTTGCAAGAAAAAAAAATCACAGGGAAGAAAATTTTTTTATTTTGATAAAAGTGGATGAAAATCAATTTGACAAGAATATCGTTTGCTTAATATTTATTAAAGCTGAAACTGATCATTTCTTTTTGAATTATCGTTTGGACAATAGCCAGCTGAAGACTTTCAACATTCATGCAGATTGAAATATCTATTAAGTTTATTTGTTCCACAAATTTTCAAATATGTGTTAGCAGTTATAAGCAATTAAAGAATATTTTTATTTAAAACTGTTTTTTTGAAAAAAAGAAAGAAAAAAGATATGAAATCTTAAATAAAAAACTGGAAGGACAAACTATTCTTCACTTCAGTTACAAAAGCGAAACTACCAAACGATTTGTGAAGCTCATCTAAATGGCACGTAATGAAGAAATATCCATTATGATTCCAGAACAATACAATAGTTCCTCATCCGGAAGCTTATCTAGCCCGCCGGTCGACCTGATAGCCAACCAGTTGAAAACAGAACCTCCCCCGCACCGACTGTTGCTGCCATTGGATCGCGTGGGCGGAGTATCCAACGAGCCGATTGGACCAAAAAGACGCACAAGGAGGGGAGGTCAACCACGTACGCCCCAGCAGCAAGCCAGATCAGTGGCAAGAAGAAATGCGCGTGAGAGAAAAAGGGTTCGGTTGGTCAATCTCGGATTCTCTGCCCTTAGAGATCACATTCCGCCCCATTTAGGAGTGTCATCGTCACCGGAGCAATCTCCGAAAAACCGGGGCTCAAGTTCATCTTCATCAGCCAATAAAAAACTGAGTAAAGTTGAGACTCTGAGGGCTGCGATTGAGTACATCAAACAATTGAGAGATGCTATAGGTTATGACGACAAGGACAGTGCAGGGGCTTCTATTGACGATTTTTCCTCATCACCACCCCCTGATACATCGTCATCTCCTTCCTACTGCACAACACCTTCACCAGTTGTCATGTTGTTGGACTCAGGCAGCAGCACACCTATGTTCGAAGATGACGAAAATGACGATTTCTTTAGTATTATGGACTGGACTACCTTATAACGAGAGTTCTTATCTACGTCTGTATATATGTAAATGGTGAGTGATTTTTTTAATTTAATTTTTAATCAATGTAATTTGTTTTTCATTGTCTTTTATATTAGATTAGTATTTTTGCATTAATTACGCAGATCGATGTATTTTTCGTAACTGCGTGACTATTAACTTTCAGTAAAATGCACTGAATACTTTTTATATAAAAGTTATTAAATCAAGAATAAAGAACTAAGAGAAATATTTCCTCAAAAAAAGAGTGTAAAATTTTTTGCAGATATGTTTTTATGTTTAAATAACTTGTTAGTGCTCAGCGTAGCTTCTTTGTTTGTTTTAAATTAAATATAAATTAGCAGACGACTTAAGAGACATATCGTGTTTTATAATTTAAAAAAGAAAACGATATCGAATCAAAACAACGAAAAATTATGAAAGAAATTAAAGCTAAGCTTGCGTAAGTCAAATTCCTTGTAAGTTTACCAAATTTAGGCATTAATCATTCCTAAATGGAATGATTAATGCTTGATTTATTTTTTATTATATAAATATTTTTCGAGATAGATAATTGTTTCTAATTTTAATTACTTACTATGAAGATAAAAATTATTTTATGGATCCTAAATAAATGATAAAAAAATACTTTTTCATTATAATAAGAAATAAACTGAAAATTAACAACAAATTTTTAATATTAAAGGGAAAAAGCAGCAATCGGTATCTATTTGCCGAAATATGAACTTGCTTCGTTTCGTGAACAAATGTTTTCTATCGATTTTGGTAAACTTTGTTTCAATGTACGCTTCTTCTTCTTTCTTTTCTAATAAATTTTGTTCAAAGAAATTTTTTTCTTTTCAAAGCAATAATGATAAAAAATTTTTTTTCATGAAATCTTTAGTAGTTCTAGTTATCTTTTGATCAAACTTATGAAACATTAGTGAAATTAAACAGAATTTCGCAAGCTAATTTCTAACTTTCTATTACTTAAGAAAATCTTTTGCAAGAGATTGGCATACCCGCCAACTTTTCCGGAAGATTTTATTTTCATATTTAAAGTGGTAGTAAATATATACTATTTTTTCTTTTATAAACTTAATTTTTAAATGATTTTGATCACCACTATTCTTACAAAAATGAAGCACATATATTNTTATATAAATAATTTTCAAGATGCATAATAGTTTCGAATTTTAATTATTTACTATGAAGATGAAAATTATTTTATGGATCCTAAATTAATGAATAAAAAAAAAAATACTTTTTCATTGAAATAAGAAATAAATTAACAACAAATTTTGAATATTAAAGAGCAAAAAGAGCAATCGGTATCATTTTCAGAAATGCCAATTTGCTTCGTTTTGTGAACAAATACTTTCTATCGATTTTGTAAACTTTGTGTCAATATATGCTTTTTTTTAAATTTTGTTCAAAGAATTTTTTTTCCTTTTGATAAAAATGTTTTCATAAACGCACCAATAGTTCTAATTATCTTTGATCAGACGAATGAAACATTAGTGAAATTAAACAGAATTTCTTAAGCTAGTTTCTAACTTTCAATTACTTTATAAAATCTTTTGCAAGAGTGTGGAGTATTTAGTAGGCAATTATAATAATTTCGCATGCATTACAAATTATAAGCTCCATAAATATATCAAATGGAACGAAGTTGCATACCTGTCAACTTATCCGGATTTCTCGGAAGGTTTTATTTTTATAATTAATGTGGTAGCAAATTTTATGCACTACCACTTTATTTTCATTAGAAATGATTAAAAATAATTTAAACATATTTATCGTTTATTAACTCTTTGAAATTTCTAAATTCAAATTTACTTAAAATGTAAGAACATCAATGGCAACAGCTTCAAACTCTATTACTTACAAATCAAAATTATATATCAACCTGAAACGAATTAACACGTTGAATTTACATGGCCTGCTCGTCTCGCCAAACGGTAAATAAATAACTACAAACTATATTTGCAAATATTAGACAGATTTTGCTAGTTTTTTGAAAGGTTTAGCATCACGTGACTGATTAAAGTGGTGAATTGTATAAGGCTACGAATTGTTTACAAAATAGTGGTGGATAAAAATCTACTAAATTGAATTTATTAAACCAAGAATCACAATTAATAAACTACCACTTGAAAATATTCATTCGCTGTCCGGAGCAAGTTGGCATCTCTGTGTATATAAATGAAACTATTTTTGTGTGTTCTATATTAAATTAATTTCTTCAAACCATTTTAATAACGATAATAATATAAAAAATTTACTCGAATTATGTGTTTCTAATAATCTTGGCTTCGCCGGTCACCGGTGACCCCCGTGGCTCTGCGAACAAACTCAGTGCCGGCCACCGGTGATCCCCATGGCATTCAACGTGTTAAACCAGAAATTTTTCTCCAAAGCTCTAAAGTGCAATACAACGAGCTTTGAATAAAATTTTTCAGTATCAGAACCTTGAAGAAGACAAATACATTAGACCTATTGCGGCGCACTATTTTTTAGCAATGTGTCTTAGTGAAGATATCAAATTTATATATTAAATTCATCCATTATTACACAATGCCTTAAAGAATATCCTCTCCTATATAAAACTTTTTTCATTTTTATATAATTTATCTACCTATCATGTTTATCTCAGGTATCAAGCTCAATTTAATAAGTGAAGTGAAATTTCTAAAATTCTGTTTAAGTGTTGGTTAAGTTTTAATGAAATTCCAATTTCTAACCTGAATTTAAATGGCATAATCCTACCAAAGAGAGAAAAACTTTTGAAAATAGTAAAAGTTAGCCGACATGATGTTGCGTAGTTATGATTTTTATATGACACGTTGACTATATATTTATGATTTTCCTATGTTGCGTTAATGTGTTTAACCCCTTAACTTTTGCATTCTAATTAATTCGAGCACGCTAAACAGGCCAAACTGTGCACACTCGAGATAATTCGAGCGGCGTTGTATTTTATGCTGCAATAATTTTTCACACTCGAATATAATCGAGAATTGAAAATGGCAATGTGAAAGCCAAGAAAAAAAAATCGTTTTATTGATATTTATCATTTGCATAAGATTGTAAGCTATTACACTTATTTATTCAAGAATAAAATATACAGAGATGCCAACTTGCTCCGGACAGCAAATATATATTTTAAAGTGGCAGGTTATCAATTGTGATTCTTGGTTTAATAAATTAAATTTAGTAGATTTTTATCCACCAGTATTTCTAAATAATTCGTAGCTTGTATAATTGACCACTTTACAATACTTATGCCATGCTATACCTTTTAAAAAGCAAGCAAGAGTAGTTAAATATTTGCAATATTTAATTTGTAGTTTTTGTCGATTTTTTAATTATTTTGGCCTGTCCGGAGCAGTTGGTATCTCTGAATATAGCCTTTTTTCATGGAACAAAAGCGCAGTATATCAAAATTGTTCACCAATAGAAAAGACAATGTTCTAAAGTGTGATTTTTTACATTAAAAAAAAAAAAGTGATTTTTTTTGGCCGTTAATATTCTTTAAAAAAATCTGTGCGTTAAGGGGTTAAATAATGCAAAAAGTTACATAATAATAGTAAACACTATTTACGCTTGTGGTTGGTGCTCTAATTGTAGCTAAATTTTTCATTTCAGGGCTATTTTTTAAACTTTTCTAAATTTAATTAAGACGCTTTCATTGATTAATTCAAAAAGCCGTCACTCCATTCCATTGAATTTCAAGAAAGTCCCTTCTTTCCATTATTATCATTATTTTTTTTTTCAAAATTATAATTTGAACTAGAATGACAGCCATAAATGCCGTTTTCTGAATAAAATTCTTTGCAGTGGTAGCGAAATTACAAATGAATTTAAGACTGCAAGCTGAAATGATTTACTAGCTTTTCAAAAACTTAATATTTAGAAAAGGGAATTATAAGAAATTTATATATTAATTTAAACTGTTTGTAGTGTTGATCAAAAATTTATAGTAAATCAATTTTATTAAACCAATATAAAAATGTATGAAAGTATTTTTTTTCTTTTACCACTTTAACTATAAAAAGAAATATCTCTCGACAAAATCGGGTGATTTATCAGCATTGATTAGTCTAAGTTCAACCCGAGTTCGTACGCACCTGGAAAAATTAACAACTGATATCAATCTTCTTAATATTAGTATCTACTATGGAATAAATACTTCATAAAGGAATGCCAACTGCTCCGCATATTGGAGTAGTTTTAATAAAGTGGGCAAAGCTTAAGCAGGCAAACATGGATGCCAACTTGCTCCGGACAGTAAATAAATATCTTAAAGTGGTAGTTTATAAATTGTGATTCTTGTTTTAATAAATTAAATTGAGTTGATTTTTATCCACCACTATTTCTAAATAATTCGCAGGCTTATATAATTCACCACTTCAAGGTACATATGTCATGCTAAACCTTCCCAAAAGCAAGCAAAATTAATCAAATATTTGCAAAATTTAGTTTGTAGTTATTTACCATTTTCTTAATTATTTTGGCGTGTCCGGAGCAGTTGGCATCTCTGTAGTAGCACATGTTAATATATATACTTAAGTTTTTAGGAAAAGTGGTGATCAAAATCATTTAAAAATTAAGTTTATAAAACAAAAAAAAATTTATATATTTACTACCACTTTAAATCTAAAAATAAAATGTTGCTCCAAATGCGTAAAAGTTTGCAAGTATTTATTTGTATATGACCCTAATAAAATGCAGTATAGCTATCTTTAACTTATATGAAATTTTTTTTTCTACATTTAAAGTGGTAGTAATATATATGCTTACCATTTATTTCTTTGATAAATTTAATTTAAAGTAATTTTGACCATGACTTCAAAGGTAGTTTATTTCTTCAGGAAAAAGAGATAAATGTGAATGTAGTATATTCTATTTTATAACCATAGTTGAACAGCCGACCCAATTTTTTTCAGTTTCCGAATACCAAGGTCCAACTCCGTAGCCTTGTAATTTTGAACTTAATAAAGAAGACAAGGGAACTCCTAGATCAAGCATCGGGAGAAATTTGCCTTCGTGGA